CTACTACTACTACTACTACTACTACTACTACTACTACTACTACTACTGATACTACAAAATAACCACCATCCATCTGCCCGTTTGTTCTTCCATTTGTCCATGTTGTTAGCATGATAACTTGAAAAATAATGGATGTGCCGACCTCTGTTTTGGAGTGTGGCTACCTTAGGAGTAAGAAAGTTCAACGATGAAAATTGGGTTGCCATGTCAAAATCCAAGATGGCTACCAACATATGGATACAGTAATCCTTCGCGGTTCGTTTTTCACGGACTCGCTCTATCGCGGTTTTTCAAAGTAAGATTGGACATGACACACAACTGGCTGATTGATGGTTGAGCTGCACGATCGGCATGAAATTTGTATTTAAAAGAAATTATTTAAAGGTACTTAGCACCGGTGGTTAATTTGAGCCGCATCCTGCCGGAACAAGATCCGGGAACTCTCATTTTGGCCCATTCTGTTCCAGCAACTCTTTCCTTGGATCCGGCAGCTCCGCCCCTAAAAGTGCAAAGTCATCGTGCATTTTTTTTTTTTTTTTTTAATAAATACAATGAGAGGAGACGTTGCCCTCAGCCCAGCGGACCAAGTCTGTGGATATTCCAGCCGCAGCATGCATGGAGCACTGGGGGTGTGGACAGATCAGATAGTCACATTACGCACAGAGGAGCTGCGCGAAGTCCTTGTCTCTTCCTCCTGTCCAAACATTGTCCCTCCTCAGCGGGGCTGCACACTGAAAAACACCCTCTCGCTCCTCCTCTCAGACCCCCAAAACAGAAACGATAATTTATTCAACAGAATAAATAAATTCCCTGTGGACAGTGCACGTTACGCACAGAAACGTCTCCAATCTCTACCCAGCGCGCGCAAACATCAGCAGGTGTCTGAACTCCTGATACATTTCAGACATAATAAATAAAAAAAGCTTACTGTAAAAAATAAATTAAAAATACAAAAAGAGAAATGTTTGATGTTATTCACATTATACATCACGTTTCAAAACAACGGCGCTAATTTGTCCAAACAACAACGATCAAAATGTCAAAGAGACAGTCCAATTTACTTAAATAAAAAATGGTTGGATGGATGGATGGATTGATTGATGGATTGTTTTTAGTTGGACAACAGAGAACTGAAGCCTTCAGGAGCTTCAAACGGTGCCACAAGACTGGAGCAAGAGCGGAGAAGAGTTCAGCTCAGAACCGTGACGTGAGGGGAGGAAGGAGGGGGTTCAGGACACCTGACAGAATCGGAGCTGCTCATTCACACACAACCTGATGTTCCTCTCCAAAATAGTCATTTTATTAAGTGTTTACAAATGTAGGTATATGTTGATGTATAAAAACCCGTTAAAATACACCAAAATGCAGGAAATGGCATCCCTGTCATTCAAAATTTTCTGTGAGAGGATCCACGGACTCAAATAATTGGGGTGACTAAAGATTAATCTATAGGGATCAAGCCACCATTGGCCATCTCCTGGCTCCAAAATTGCACCTCTGTTCTTCTACACAGTGTAACTAAATATTGCATAACTTACCCATACATTTTTATTCTATGTTTAGTCCTCTGTATCTATTTATATTTTATGATTTTATTAAAAAATACTTCTACTTGGTCATTAATAAATGTATCTCAACGTATTATCTGCGGTATTTTGCGTTTTGCAGTTTTATTGCATTATTTGTTTCCCCGAGCACATTAACAACTCCAACTCCAAAAAAGTTTTGTAAAATGTAAATGCAAACAATATGCAACAATGTGCAAATTCAGTAACTCCATATTTTATTAACAATAAAACATAGTATATATCAAATGCGTAAATAAAAATGTACTGTACCATATTTTGGAAATAAATTAACACATTTAAATTATACGACAGCGGTGCATCGCAAAATATGTTGGCACATAGGCACAAAAGGCAATAAAAGAAAAGAGGTATAAGTTCTCCCTCATCTTATCTTATATAAAAAAAAACATCTGGAGGTGTATTTTGCAACTAATCGGGTTAACTGGCAACAGATCAGTAAGAAATCTAGGTTTAAAAAGAGCATTTCAGAGAGGCAGTATTACTATGATGTAAAAATGGGCAGTGGTTCACCAGTTTGTAAAAACTGTCAAAAAATATCCTGATGCATGCTCAATAATGCTAATTTGCAATGATGGCTGCACTTCGCCACGCTGCAAGTTTATGGGCTCCAGGTGAAAACCCAGTTTTTGTTTGTTTTAGAATTGGCTCCGAACCCAACTCCGCTCGCCTTGAGTGTGAATTACAGCCAAACCAAACTTATGAGCACTAGAGAGGGTTTAACTCTAAGGTGATCAGATTTCTGAAGTGAAATCACATTTCCAGCTCGGAGACCAAAAAGTACAATATTTTATCAAGATGAAATTAAAAACAGGGACAGTTACAGTTTCATTTATTTTTACATATTTATTCATGTTTAAACAATAAAACTCAAACAGCAGGAATGTGTCTCTCCACACTGTTAACATTTCTTAAGAGTAATAAAATTAATAAAGTAATAGTAGTAGTAACAGAGTACTAAAACTGGGGGGAGGGTCAAGGGTATATACTATTAAGTGAGTGTGCATACCTTGTGAGTGAATGAGAACATGTATGTACTTGCATAGGTGTGTATAAGTACACAGTGTATTGTTTCGTAGCTGATGTGTATTTATGTTGTGTGTATGTGTGAGGTGAGTGAAGGACAGGTAGTTCACTGACGTTAGCTCATCTCTGGTTCTGCGAGGCCTCCTCTGTCTGAAGAGATGGTGGCCATGGAGGTCTGGAATAGAAGAAAAGCAGAAAAGGTTACGCACCAAACTGAAAGAGCACAGATTGTAAGGATGGTACTTTTCTGTGGCCCGGTTTGTCTGTTTCCCTCGTGCTTCCTCATTAGTTTCCATTGTTGCCACCTGTGTCTCGTCCCAGCTGTTTGTCATCATGTCTCGTCTTCTCCCTGTATTTAAGCTGTCCTATTCTGTCTTGTTCTTCGTCGGGTCGTCTTCGTTGGGTACTCTTCCTTGGGTCTTCTGAGTCTTTCCCTGAGTCTTCCTGGTCCCTCGAGTTCCCCGTGTCTCTCGTGTCTCCTGAGTTCCCCGTGCCTCCTTCCTTGTTTATGTAAGTTTTGCTGCCCCGTCAGCTCGTTTATTTTGTACTTTTCATTTATCATTAAAAGCCTATTTTTTGTATATCTGCCGAGTTGAGTCCCTGTTCTGCACTCTGGGTTCGCTCCCGACAAATCCTAACACAGATAATAGTAAAGAGAAACTATTTGGGCACAGCTGACAACACTGGAAACATTTCCTACTGTGAATAAAACTTTTATCACGGCAAGGATTAGACCAGTTCAAACAAAATAAATCATTTCATACATACCATATCACAGGAGAACTCCCCATCTGTTTTTTTTTCTCCCAGTTGATGTTGACAAACTCGTGCTGCGCTCCTTCTTCTTCAGTTTTAAAGGTGGCGCACGTGGCTCTTCTTCTTCTGCAATGTCAGCACTGCAGCGCTGGCGCAACCAGCTGCTGCAGTAACATCGGTTGTTGCGCGCAACTGCATCTGGCTACTGTAATAACAGTCTACATGCAACTTCTTTTTCTCATTCATTAAATGCTCCCTTGTTCTGCTGGGGGACTTCAATGCTCACGTGGGCAATGACAGTGAAACCTGGAGGGGTGTGGTTGGGAGGAATGCCCCCCCCCCCCGATCTGAACCCGAGTGGCTTTCTGTTGTTGGACTTCTGTGCTCATCATGGATTGTCCATAACAAACACCATGTTCAAGCATAAGGGTGTCCATGTGTGCTCTTGGCACCAGGATACCCTAGGCTGCAGTTTGATGATCGACTTTGTTGTCATCTCATCTGATCTGCGGCCATATGTCTTGGACATTCAGGTGAAGAGAGGGGCAGAGCTGTCCTCTGATCACTACCTGGTGGTGAGTTGGCTA